TCACAAGACAAGCCCTCACATGGAATCCAGGTCAAAGGAGAAGAGGAAGACCAAAGAACACATTACGCCGAGAAATAGAGACAGACATGAGAAGAATGAACAAGAACTGGATAGAACTAGAAAAGAAGGCCCAGGACAGAGTGGGTTGGAGAAAGCTGGTCGGCCTATGCTCCATTGGGAGTAACAGGCGTAAGTAAGTAAGTAAGTAATCAATACTAAGAAGTCATTGATTTATTTAAACACCACAAGCGCCACAGCTCGAATTGGAGTGTAAGTGTATCGGTCCGAAAGTGTATTGGATGTAGACTCTGTATTATCTAGAATGCACTCATTAGTATTTGAATTAACAACCAAAATTGGAACAGACTCACCTGGGTTCTGGGATTGTATACAATCAGCATACCGGCTTTGTAGTGAAACCATTGATATTTAGAATTTGCATCATGGGTTTTCCAACAATATCCTCCCCCACGAAATAATGTTGGGTCCTTATGTCGCAATGTTTTAGCCAATATGGCATTTCCAATTTGCAGTATCTTCTCAAATCTCACGCATCGACTACTGTATGTGAGTATTTGGGAATAAACACTGATATATGATTCGAAGTATTCCATCATGTGACTTTGATTTGAATAAAAATCATGATACATATTCTTTTTGTTATTCATATTAGAATACGCAGATGGATATGCATTGATATATGTAATTAGCACATGTGATTCAACTAGGCTTGATTTACCTGCGAAACAATCGAATAGAAAACATCCATCTGCCTCATATTCATTAGGATAATCTTGGATTTGATTTAGATTCTCTGTCTGTGCAAGCTTCACTTCTGGGTAAGCTGGTTCTCTGATTATTTCGGTAAATTTTGCTATCCCTTCTGATTCATCATACCCCTGACTAGGGACTCTATTCAACATACATTGTTCGTGAGAGTATCCAACATATGACACAATAACATCAGAAATATGACTAGAATTCAACTAATAAGAAACATATTTGTCACATTCATGAGGAATATCATTAGAGATAAATTCATTGTGAGGACCACTGACGCTTGATATGATATCAGAATTTGATTTCTCTGAAATATTTTCCTCAAATGGATTAAGAGTTTCATTAAAGAATAATGAATCAACAGGGAATTCAGCATCTACCAAGACTGAATCTGGTTTTTGATCATAATTTGACTCATTTAACATTCTATTCTCAGAGTTGTAAGAAATTCCATCAGAAGTATGTGGATTATTACGACAAACCATATTTGGTTCAATATCATGAGAAATCCGATAAGTTTGTTGGTTAAAATTTTTTGTCTCACAATGATTCTGAGTTTCAGTTAACTCTGGACTGCTATGTGACGTTATACCACTTCTAAATAAAGATAACTGATCATTAGAAGCATCCATCTTAGCATTACTTTCAGCGAAATAAACCATGGTATTACAAACTGACTGAATATGTCCAGTTATACCACAATTAAAGCATTTAGAATTACGAAATATACATGAATTACATGGGTGAAACTTGCCACAGAACATGCATTTACTAAACTCGTGCTCATCATCATGGACTGTTTCACCATTCAATGAAGTATTGTCTGAATAACTTTCATTACGCATCGAACTACGACGACTGTTTGAATAAGTGGAATTCCTGATGTTCTGACGAGTCATTTTATCGGATTTTCCTTTCTTACCGCATTCGGAATTTGTATACTTTACATGATCCAACAGCAGTTGTTTGAGAGTTGCATAGGGGAGTGAAATCGGTTTGTCTGGAAGTGCCAAAATCTTTATAAGGCTGTATGCTTCTTTCCCGATGAATGTAAGGAAATGGGCCACAATATTAAAATCCTCATCATCTTCTTTGGTCATAGCCCAGATTTCGAACCTTTCCATGTACTCCTCAAAAGCATTAAAATCTGAATTTATATTTAACCGTTCCATCACAGGCTCAGTCGCGACGCCAATATGATAATTAGAAGTATTTGAATTGTAGTATGAACTAGTAATCCCCGGAATAACGCAATTTAATCAAGAAGTATCAGATGAGCCCGAACGAATGTATTGTATTTGGAATTCAAAATTACAACAGTCATCAATACTAAGAAGTCGTTGATTTATTTAAACACCACACGCTATATGCTTTATGCTTAGGGTAAATTGGCATAAACATTATCCACTGTCATACATTGTGGCGGTACGAAGTTTCATACACTCAAGGCTGTTGGCCATTATTGTGGCTATGTTCCCATGTGTCCTAGCAATGTAGCGTATAGTTTTCATGATTGACATGTTGATAATAATATAATGAGAATAAAGTTGTCAGGAAATGTATGAAGCATAACATCCCTTTTGAGTTTGTTGGGTTTGTCTCATTCATAGAGTCTCGACAGTACACAGAGGTATATAACAAACCTTTATATCAAGGCATTAACTGTTTATAAATAATACGAAAGGAAGGAAAAAATGGACGTCAGAATAACGCAATGATGATCTAATATTATTCAATTATTCATAGGCTATAACATTTTTTATTTTATACTGAAATCTGGGCTACAGCAGAAACGGTGTAATTAGGCACAGGATAAAAGCTGTCTGAGAAATGAAGCTACGTCTATTTCGTTACGGCGACTCTGAGAAGCTTGCCTCAGGGCGGCTATTCCATATTTAAATTGCTTCAGGAGGGTGGCGTATTTGTGATATATATATATATATATATATATATATATATATATATACTAACTGGTGGGTTGCCTTCGCTCCTCCATCAGGGGTAACAGACATAAGTAATTATATATTAATATGTTAATACAAACTATTGTTGCAATTTCTTAAAATTATACCAAATAATTTTGTTAATTGGCTATACAAGAAGTAATTATGAATAATGTTGAAGAAAGTAATTTACTATTATGTTTATAACTACTTATCCACTAAATTTTTTTCTTTTTGGTTTAATATTTCACATCGTTTGCATTTAAACATACTCTTCTTTTTATAAAATGACCATCAAAAGTTTCATCTAGTCTCCTTCAACTTGAAATGGGATTAAATCTTTTTGAAACAGACTAATATTGCATTCAAATAAATAAATAATATTGTTATTAAACAATAATCAAGAGATGAATATCATAATAACCTACGAAATTTCAAGATGAAAATAAGCTACCTCATTTATACCCTGTTGGATGTTTATTTATTATAGTAGTCTAGTTGAATGAAAAAAATAAATGAAAACTGTTAAGTCAGGATTACTATTCAGATGAAAAAAAGAAAATGCATCATTCGATCTAGAATAATATCTAGGTTTATCTCAAGATGTATAACCTAATTATTCATCCACTTAAATTGAATTCAAGTCCGTTTCGATTGTCAAGTTAATAAGAGTGACAATATACCTTGAAGATTGATTATCTTTCACTCATCTTACTTTTTTTTAACTGATAAGCTTCAAATCATCTCATCAGAAATTATGAGTATAGTAATATTACTGGGATAATTTTTAATACACTAGAAATTGACTTGAGAATTGTAAATTAATTCTATACATTAAAATTGTAAATAAATCTAAGTCAGATAACGGCTGGAAACTTGGAAGCACTGGGAGGCCATTTCGTCTCAGTATGGGACTCCTCAGCAGTGGGCACCCAAGATCTCAAATACGAGAATCGAACCCAGAAACTTCAATCTGACGCATGTCCAGTGTTACCATGTTTTCAATGATGGTCTAACTTAGATGGATTTCAAAGAAATTCAACGATCTCCACAACCTCATGATGATGATCTCATCCAGTTAATAGAATATATAAAACAATTTGATTCCATTAAAAGTGTAAGCAACTATAGTGGTCCTAGAAAGCTTATGTATCTTCCTAGGATTGCTACCAGCTTTTTTATATATTACTGAAGATAGTAAGCAAAAATATTTATTTTTAGATTCTTTTATAGACAAAAATAGTTTATTGAATCCTCTTTACCACCCACAAATTCGTCGAATAGTAAAGAAATATAATGGAGTATCGCAACAACGAAATGGGGAAGTTGTGCATAATAATCGATTTGTTTTAGCATTCTTATAACATAAGTACGTTTATTATTCAGTGAGCCACTAATAAAAAAGTGTATTTGGGGGTTTGTTTTAAACAAAGCAAGTTGAAGAAAAACCATTGATTTACTGTTTATTTATAATGTTTATCGAGAATAGAGGACATTCGATCGTTAATAATTTCACAGTCATTTATTTTCTGTATTGGAAAAAAAATGATTTTTTTTGCACTAAGTGTAAGCGTCCTATGGACTGTAAAATAATATTTTTCATGAACCATTTAACATGATTTAAGATGAATGTTATTACCTTTTGAGGTTCACATAAAAATTATGTCATTTACTTAATTTCAATTAGGTCGACCCTATAGTATGGTTACACAGAATTATGACGCTAATTTAATTTGACAAGTATCGATCATGTACATTAAGACTGACAGAAACGAAAAATCGTTTACATTTTGGAGTCTTTGCTTACATTTCTGACCATTGGTTTGTTAACCGACTGTAAGGATGACTCGTTGAAAATCTCAAGGAAGCCTCAAGAAGCCCAAAAAGAGCCGAAGACATTCCATTTAATCATCTCTAGAGGAACATTCTAGAATGTCGTGTAGATTTCCTATTTAATGAATAAGAAGGCCCCTCTATGTACCTACTGGCTGTCCGACATTATGATTTACTTTCAGCCAAAAACTATTAATACATAGGATTTTTGCACTATATTTGACACTGTTTGGATTAACATTCCTACTTACTAGTCTTCTGTCTTCTCATTTTGCGATTTGGGAGGGTTCTAGCGTTCGAGTGCTCAAGTATTACGCGACATACTAAGAATCTTAATTCGAGATATAACACCGACAAGAAACTAATGATCATACTATTTTGATGGAACGTTTTGAAAACAGATAATAATAAATATTTTCATTAGTATTCTAAAAATCTATGGTTTTGTGTTTAAGACTTCAGAATAAATGATTAGTTTGACCGTATCAATCACATGAATGCTCTTATGACAAAGAGAGTTTTAGGTGATAACATTATAATTAGTTACGTTTGTTGTTTGCTATTTTGTCACAATAGTTATTAACAGTTCCATTTTAAAGTTAATTTATCTTTCAAGTGAATTCATTACTGGGTTTTGTATAACTTGTTTTTCTATTTGAGTTTCTTTCGCATAAGAATGATCATTTGATCTGGACAACGATATCATTTCTATCTTTCACATTTAATAATGATGATTTTCGTTGATATTATATTACAAAACATATTCATTAATTTCCTTTAATTTGTATTTAAGTAGTATGGAATTATCAAGTGTTACATTCTAATTATCTCTGTTTATGCGATATAACGACAAAAAGATATATGGACTTGCTAATCAGAACTAAATTTCATAGCCTGGTAATTGACCTACAAAAGTAAAAGTCAATAATTACATATGTTTCAAATGAATTTTAATTATGTTTACTTTTTAAGAAAAAATATTTTCTAGATATGTTTCACATTGTTATATAAAACGCCTTATTTTCACTGGTGAGGCATCTTGTCTTTTGATACTCATTTTCTGGGAGCCATCCTGCCTGGATAATCTCGATTTGTGAACAATTACCTATAGGCTATACCGATTTCATTATTTCAAGAGATTGATCGATACCAGTCAATTCAAATCACACGAAATTTCTATAATGCAATTATGTGTAACTACTTTTGGTTTAATTTTATTTTACTATTCTCTTGATATATTAGCTTTGAATTCTAAGAAAATGAAGGAAATTTCCTATGAAATTTCAAAGAATCAGGGAAACAGATTATTTATTATTAGGTTATTAGTAGTTCACTCATTACTGCAGATATATAATTTGATCAGATAGAGTCAATGATCATCAATATATTCGTCATAATAAAAGGTATAATCAGTGTATCATATTGTGATCACTAAAATTAGTGAAATTTTATACTATAATCTCTATTTACCGGCATTGAAACCATTCATTTAGAGATGTTAATACTCAATAACGAAGAACAAAATATATTTATTATTCAGAAAACTTCCATTATAAATAGTATTTATGCATGTAGAAATTAATATTTATTAAACAGTTTGATATGCTGCGTGCAAGTAGAAAAGACCAAGTTTAAACAGGTGTGAGATTCTATTCTCAATGTAGAATGAGATTGACAATCAGAAATCGTTTTCACGAAGATGAGTCCTTATAAATAAACTGTTAAAACTTGATAAGGGAGAAAGAAGGCTATTGTATTACAGACTGAGGAACTAAAAGTGAGAATAAAGACGAAAAAAACTTCAACAAAATATAATAATTAACGATTCCCATAATGAAATGGAAACATTCAAAAATTCAGTAAACCACTTCAAATAAGATGATATAATTAACCATCAGCGAATACAACTAAATGAAGTCAATTTTTTTTAAGATTTGAAAAGATACTGTATACGAGAATAATGAAATGTACCATGGACATATCCAAAAATATCTACTTCACCATTATTAGGCAATATCGTTAGTTGTTCTAGATATCTATTCATTATGAAGGAAAGATTATATTTAACCACTGAATAACAGTCTTATTCGAAACCATCTTACACTATTATGAATAATTTAAAAATCTGTCCACTAAAGATGTGAACCGTCGGTAACACTGATTTGTAATTTGAAAATTCACATCACTCTAAAATACTATGTCAACATCTATTCTAATTCCCTCATGAATTAAAAGACGAATTTCATTTAGAAAAGCATGAATAGCTTTATTTATTGTTTAATTTTTTTATTACATTGTGTTGACAAACTGTCGAAACTGTACTCCTACTCGTTGATTTCTTGATCCACATCCATATAAGTGTGTTTGGTTATTTGGATCCCGAACATTTGCCATCACATTTACAGGTGCCAGAGGTGCAGTTACAGCTCGATCCGCAACCACATTTTCCTTCACAGCAGTCTTCAATAAATAAAATATTCAACCAATCATTTAGTACAAGAATTTCGATCAAATGAATTACAAAACTTCATGAAAAATAAATGTCATAATGTCCATCTATTTCGAAATAATCTTATCCCTCAGTCAGCATGGAATATAGTCAAACCGTCCATTAAATAAGTTGAAGTATCGCTTTCTCCACACAATATTGAACCTCAAATGAATAACTAATGTTAAACACTCTATACACATATAGTGGGTTGAGTTTGTTGTAATCATAATAATATTGGTAGTAATCACAATAGGTTGTTTATAGGTTGATATGGAAACTACTGATCAATGGGTGAGTAAACACAATGAGAATGTTAACAATCAGTGCTTCACTCCCATCTGGCAACTATCCATACTTCCTCCTCTCCTCTACTACTGCTCTAGATGGTATGAGAAAATTTTCATGAAAATTGTCATAAGTGGTAGGAATCGATTAGGAGTAGTTCCATATGCGGAACTTCATCATCTATTATACACTGCATTTGGAATACAGAGAAGAAAACATATTATCTACTATGGCTAACATTGTCATTACTAACACGTTCAAATCATGAGTAAAATCTAGGATCAGCAGTCCCATTCTCATAGTCATCATCATTAAACACATTACAATATGCAATATTGTATATACTTACCAGACATTGTATTAGCTCAAATGTACGAAATTGTACAACATATATGACACGTTCATTCTCATTTATATACTATTCCTTCAATATTTCACATAAAATCAGTTCATTTTCACATTTTTGTGAATAATAGACGAGAAAAAATCCGAAATTTCGGTTATATGTGAATTTTTGTCTGATCATATTGTGTGTACACACTAGTGAGAAAATAATGAAGTCAATCCATTTTTCTCTGTTCGCCTTAGCCATTGATATATATACCAAAGTACAATATTCATAAAAAAAATATTGATTGTCTGATACATAAATTCACAAAAATGTGAAAATGAACTGATTTTATGTGAAATATTGAAGGAATAGTATATAAATGAGAATGAACGTGTCATATATGTTGTACAATTTCGTACATTTGAGCTAATACAATGTCTGGTAAGTATATACAATATTGCATATTGTAATGTGTTTAATGATGATGACTATGAGAATGGGACTGCTGATCCTAGATTTTACTCATGATTTGAACGTGTTAGTAATGACAATGTTAGCCATAGTAGATAATATGTTTTCTTCTCTGTATTCCAAATGCAGTGTATAATAGATGATGAAGTTCCGCATATGGAACTACTCCTAATCGATTCCTACCACTTATGACAATTTTCATGAAAATTTTCTCATACCATCTAGAGCAGTAGTAGAGGAGAGGAGGAAGTATGGATAGTTGCCAGATGGGAGTGAAGCACTGATTGTTAACATTCTCATTGTGTTTACTCACCCATTGATCAGTAGTTTCCATATCAACCTATAAACAACCTATTGTGATTACTACCAATATTATTATGATTACAACAAACTCAACCCACTATATGTGTATAGAGTGTTTAACATTAGTTATTCATTTGAGGTTCAATATTGTGTGGAGAAAGCGATACTTCAACTTATTTAATGGACGGTTTGACTATATTCCATGCTGACTGAGGGATAAGATTATTTCGAAATAGATGGACATTATGACATTTATTTTTCATGAAGTTTTGTAATTCATTTGATCGAAATTCTTGTACTAAATGATTGGTTGAATATTTTATTTATTGAAGACTGCTGTGAAGGAAAATGTGGTTGCGGATCGAGCTGTAACTGCACCTCTGGCACCTGTAAATGTGATGGCAAATGTTCGGGATCCAAATAACCAAACACACTTATATGGATGTGGATCAAGAAATCAACGAGTAGGAGTACAGTTTCGACAGTTTGTCAACACAATGTAATAAAAAAATTAAACAATAAATAAAGCTATTCATGCTTTTCTAAATGAAATTCGTCTTTTAATTCATGAGGGAATTAGAATAGATGTTGACATAGTATTTTAGAGTGATGTGAATTTTCAAATTACAAATCAGTGTTACCGACGGTTCACATCTTTAGTGGACAGATTTTTAAATTATTCATAATAGTGTAAGATGGTTTCGAATAAGACTGTTATTCAGTGGTTAAATATAATCTTTCCTTCATAATGAATAGATATCTAGAACAACTAACGATATTGCCTAATAATGGTGAAGTAGATATTTTTGGATATGTCCATGGTACATTTCATTATTCTCGTATATAGTATCTCGTCAAATCCTGCTATACTCTGACTTCACTTGTATGTGATATATATATATATATTATATACTAAAAAAGTCATTTCTCAATGAACCTTTATATTATTTTAATACCTATTTATTCTTCGTATGTGTTGCCGTTTGATTTTCTACTTCTTCACAGTTCTGGATTGTTATTTTGATGCAAAATTTAGATCTTTTTTGTACAAATCATTGAACATATAACACCGTCGCAAATGCAGGTATGAATTCTTCAACAATGTATGCTTAGAGAACTCCGCCTGTATCTCTTCCAGAATTTTTACCGGTCTCAAACCCGGGTAAAGAATATAGATATTGCATGGGTTCGGCAACCCCATCCAATAGAAGAAAATCTTGCTAAGAAAATTTCAACCAGATTAGCACGTATTAGACCATTTAATATTTGCCCTGAAAGTTGAAGGAAGAGTTATGATGTTTCAGGTTGAAAGACGAGATTTTTCGGAACTCACGATGACAATGCCCCTTTCCAACAACCAGAGCAAGAATTTTCACAGGTACATGGGTCGTTCGGACAATGTGGGAGACCAGAAAGACCAGTCAAATATCAACAGAACTGAGACGATACAAATTGGCAGTACTTGGAATCAGCGAAACCCATTGAACCCAAGCTGGATAGCAAAGGCTAGATACGGGAGAGATGCTGCTGTACTCCGGTCATGAAGAGGGAAATGCTCCACATACTCATAGAGTTGCTCTAATACTGTCCAGAATACCACGAAATGCACTTGTAGCATGAGGATCTCACGGATACTGAATCATCAAGTCATCATTCAAAACAAAGAAGAAGGGAATCACAATGAATGTTATGTGCCCACCAATGATATCAGCGATGACAATCAAGATCATTTCTATGGGAGGCTGTAATCAATCATAGCAAAGTGTCCAAGAAAGTACCTCCCCACCCTGATGGGAGATCTAAACGCTAAAGTCGGAATGGACAACACAGGATATGAAGATATAATTGCACTACATGGACTGGGAAAGAGAAATAAAAATGGGTAGAGATTTGCAAATCTATGTGCATTCAATAAATTGGTTATAGGCGCACAATATTTCCACACAAAGCTACATGGATCTCGCTGGACCACACCACAGAGAACCAGATAGATCATATTTGCATCAACAAAAAATTCCCAATGCCAATGTAAGACGTGAGAAACAGGAGAGGAGCTGACATAGCTCCAGATCACCACCTGGTTGTTGTCAAGATGAAACTGAAGCCAAAAAAACTAGAAAAATGTGGAAACAGCATTACAAAGGTTCCATACACCTTTCCTTCGACATACTGACAAACTCAACCAATTCAGGATAACTTTCAACAACAGGTTACAAGCTATACAGGATCTACTGAAAGAACAACAGACTAGTGTGGAGGACAATTGGAAGTAGATCAAAGAAGCACTAATTCCAATGTGTCAGGAGGTTCTGGGTCTCAAGAAGCATCATAAGGAATGGATCTCTATGGAAACCCTGCACAAGATTAAAGAAAGGAAGAACAAGAAGACAAAAATTAACAACAGTCGATCACGAGCAGAGAAAGTCAAGGCACAAGTTAAATACACAGAAGCAAACAAGGAAGTGAAGAAGAGCATTAATGCCAACAGCAGAAATGAGTGGAAGAACTAGCAAAGACGGCGGAGAAAGCTGTGAGAAAAAGAAATATGAAACAACTGTATGGTAGAACGAAGAAACTGGTAGGGAAATATGGTAAACCAGCTTCATTGAACCAGGAGGATATTGAAACAACAACTACAGACCTTCCTACAGATGTCAATCTACAAACGATCGAAGAAATCAGGATGGTCATCAAACAAATCAAGAGTGCAAAAATATCAGGACCCGACAATAAACCAGACGAAACCCTGATATAAGATATACAAGCAACTGCAAACATGTTCCATGTTCTATTCAGGAAGATTTGAAAGGAAGAACAAGTGCCGATAGACTCGGATGAAAGATATCTCATCAAGATACCGAAGAAAATAGATCAGAGTATTTGTGAGAATTATAGAGACATCGCACTACTATCAATACCAGCAAAAGTTTTCGACAGAGTATTTTTTAACCGGATGAATGGTTCAGTAGACATCCAACTTCGAGATCAAGAAGCTGGATTCCTTAAGGATCACTCGTGCACAGACCAAATCGCAACACTACGGATCATCGTTCAACAATCGATTGAATGGAACTCATCACTAAACACCAACTTCATTGACTATGGGAAAGCGTTTTACATCGTGGATATGAGGACTTTATAGGGCCTTCTTCGACACTATGGAGTTCCTGAGAAGATTGTCAACATTATCCGAAATTTGTACAGCGAACTACACTGCATAATCATGCATGAAGGACAACTGACAGATGCATTCCAAGTAAGGAACGGAGTCAGACAATGCTCCCTTCTTTCTCTTGCTCTTTCTTCTGGTGTTTGACTGAATTATGAAGACTTCTACACCTGAGGGGAAGCACAGAATACAATGGACATCTCTGAATCAATTAGACGATTTAGACTTCGCAGATGACTTAGCTCTTTTATTCCATACACATCAACAAATGCAAGTCAAGATAACCACAGTAGCAGCAGTCTCTGCACCAGTAGGCCTCAGTATACGCAAAGAGAAAAGCAAGATACTCGAATACAACACAGCTAACACCAAATTAATGACACTTGATGGAGAAGCTCTAGAAGAGGTGGAAATGTCCACGTATCTGAGTAGCATCATCGATGAACAAGGAGGATCGAATGCAGATGTATAGGCGAGGGTTGGCGAAGCAAAGGCAGACTTCTTACAATTGAAGAACATTTGGGACTCAAAACAACTATTAGAGCTAAAACTTGGACAACTACCACAACCATCATTAAGAAGGTACAAGTATTTATAAACAGTTGTCTACGCAAAATACTGAACATCCATTGGCCGGATATCATCAGCAACAGCGTTTTATGGAAGAGGACAAACTAGCTTCCGGCTGAAGAGGAAATTAGGAAAAGACGTTGAAAGTGGATAGGAAATACATTGAGGAAATCACCGAACTGCATCATGAGGCAAGCCCTAACTTGGAATCCTAAAGGGAAGCGGAGAAGAAGAAGGCCAAAGAACACATTACTCCGGGAAATGGAAGCAGATATGAAAAGGATGAATAGAAACTGGAAAGAACTGGAAAGGAAGGCTCAGAACAGAGTTGGATGGAGAATGCTGGTGAGCGGCCTATGCTCCTCGACGAGGGGTAACAGGCGTAAGTAAGCATTATTTATGAATATTATATATTGTTATTTATGAATAACTAGTAAAAGTTTATATTTTTCCAAAATGCAAATCTTGAATGAATCAACATTTTATTTCATTATAATAAATACACAGCATCTTCAACTGAATTTACGAAGAAAATCCACTAACATATTTCATTTTTCATAAAAAAAGAACTAAATAACAATTTTTGATCTGATTTTCATTTATTCTTCATTTCTGTTTGTACTTATCGACCATATGGACGGGTGAATCGTCTACGATGGACATAAAACACCTTGTTCTTATCTAAATTTTCTAGATTATTTGGATACCATCTTTGTTTAGTTTCTTGGATACCCAATCATTGGACACAGAAACAACGAGCATTCATCGAGCATGTAAATGAAAAGAAAACAGGTGAAAATATCAGTGATATTTAACAACAAATAACAATAGTGATGTTTCATTTCATGACATTTATATATACACAGTGGCTTATTTCGGACATATATGTTATACAAAAAGACCTCTTAATAATCTGGTAGATTTGGCCAATTTACAGATTAAATCAGAGTTATATCTTTTGGCCTGTGTGTCCTGTTTATATATATAACGTGATAATACTACCAATTAGAGAGCAGTGAATCATCTTTCCGACCAATGACACACGAAACCCGTACGAGCAGTCTCGAGTCCTTATCGGTTCTGCTTCCCACCTAGCCCAGTATAGTAAGTCCAGAACACCAATAACAGCCTCTGCAATATGAATCATTTATTTCAAACATATTGGGTTTATATACCAATCAGACAGACCACATCGTATCATGAAATAGGAAACAACATTTGTACATGATTTAGCCAAATGTGGCTGTGAGTAGAGGGAACAGTAATTACTAGACTAGGGATAACTCAAGAATGGTAAATCGTATAATAATAGTTCATAGGTCAAAATAAAGCTCATAATAAGAGGGACATGAATATGAATAGTTTAGTTGTTTAATATTTATACGATAAAAATATACACATAATATTGGTCCATAAATAGTTGTCAAAAGGTACCACTCATAATTATCTTCGGGATAATAACAATCAGCAATAGCGGTACATGCTATTTTCATCAATCACCAAATTGATGTCAGAGATATCAAAATAATTCAAAAAGGTTTTTCCAAAGAGAGGCGAGTAGTCGGAGACTTTCATAGAATGCTAAATCCCTCTGCCTTCAATAGTAAAGAAGGCCTGGATATTTATCCAACCTGGACTGTTTATTCAAACAACAACATTTGACACTATTTATTTTCTACACATGCTACACACATACGCACGCACATAATTTCAACCTCACTACTTCATGTTACAAATACATACATTTTTCATACCCATCTTCAGACGCACAAATTAATACAATAACATGTCATACAAATTCACGTGGATCAAGAATAACTTGGCACTGACATATTCAGACGTATCATGGTTTTGACTGTACTAAAAATATTCTTCATTGTTTCCTTTTCACTATCTAAACTTGAGTTAACTTAATCTGGCTATTTTATTTGCTCTGAAGAAATATCTTACATTAAGTCATGAAACTTCAGAAATACAATTTTCTACTTATTGGGATATAACAAAAAAATATATTTGCTACTAACTTTCTACCCAATGCTCAATTTATTTGAAACTATCAAGTCCAACCTTGATATTGATATCTGTTTAAGGAAATGTTATTAAGTTAACAGATTACTTTTCATTAAGTTAGTTCAAAACATTTGGTTAAAACAGAAATGGAAACAAAATTAATTAAAATCAAATAGATGCATATTGGTGATATAGATATAAGAGTAAGTTGATTATAACTGTGGTTGGTTTGACAGTGAAGCTAGCGAGATCGATTGTAATAAGTTACTGTGAATATGGAGATTCGGTTTCCCGAGAAAGATGTTGATGGTTTCAAAAAATATGTGCTTAAATCTTTCTGTGCATTAGATGTAATGAAGTGAATATGGAAAACTCATATAAACGACCAATCTTGCTTTTAATCAAACTTTCATTTACATTAATATTTATGTGCAAAAGCCAATCAAGGCAAATTGACTATGAAGATGGACTGAGTAACTAATCATAATAAATAACTAATACATAGTGATAGTAGGGTGACAGGTAATAATAAATAGCCTGACAATGTGTCTAAATTTACTTGAACAGGAAGTAGGTCAAAGCTTGAAAAAAACAAATAATAGGTATTAAAAATTACGTGGTGAGAAATATGTGTATAATCACTCAAACAATGAGAAGATACAAAGGGGTAGTGGAAAGAATAAGTAATATCTTCTGTTATGTTTCCTCTAGTGAGGGAAGAGACAGAGGTATTATAGGCTTTTTTTAAATACAAGGACTAGATGAGTTCGCTCGAATCCTCATAACTTTAGTCTTAAGCAAGAGACCAGAGCCAACAATAATCTGAAAATTCAAAGGTATCCGATAACTTATTATAAACGCTGTAGTTCTATCTGCTATATGACTACTAACGATCATGTGTGACAAAGTTGTAATGTTAAATAAATTCATTCTAACAATTAAAATCACGATTTGTCTAAAGACAAAATGGCTTAACTGTATCATCGTTAAACCTATAGAACATAATGAGTTCAAATAGAAAGTCAGCAAAATTGCTTAGTAACCCTTTTTTAAATTAATACGAGTGGACATTTGCACCATATTCAAGATTTTTATCAGTACCTACAATAAAGGACTTTGAAATGATTTATTTATTCGAACGTGAAAAAATTACTACATTTCATTGTCAAATCGAAACTTACCAAGCGCAGAATGTTTCGCTTTACTATCCAGAAAATCTATCATATGATCATCTGACATGTAAGGATATGTATGATAGAGCCCATGTTCTGACTGATAAATATCATCATCCATATGTCCAGTAGATAATACAGACAGATATAAAACTATTAATAAAGTGAAATAAATTTTCATTCCTCTAGATTTATTTCCTTGATTGAATTACTGTTTTCTAAAGGTTTGTCGTCTTTTGAAAAGAAAAAAAAGAAATTTGATTATTATAATCTTTAGAATTGTGGAGTATCGAATAACTGTCAGGAGCCCCTCTGAGGATACTGCCTGCCTTAGGCCCAGGTAAAGGGAGAGGATTGGGTTTAGGACTAATAATACCATCTTATAACAAGGAATAACACAACAAATAAAAGCTAACAGGTGATAAACAGTTGAACCTATTGAACTGAGGGATATTCATTTAAAAGAGTTATGATGCACGATGGTGAAAGACGGGAGTTACCGAAAGATGAGGGTCCGACACCCCTTCCAAAAATCAGAGCAATAATGAGTAAATGCACATGGAACGTTCAAACAATGTAAGAGGCCGTGCTTGTCATTCATACAGTCGCAAAAATGATAAAATACAACCTCTTTGCGCTTGATAAACGTAAAACTCATTGAATACCATTCAGACAGAAGAAAGAACTTCAGGAGAGCTGCTGTTGTATCCTGGTAAAGAAGAAGAAAATACCCTTAAATTCAAGGAGTTGCACTAATAATCCCCGAAGAAACGTTAAAAGCGCTTACAGAGTGGATAACTCATGGTTTCAAGGTTGTCAGAACATCATTCAAAGCAAGGGAAAATATTACACTGAATGTCATCCAGTGCAACACACTCACCTAAGGTAGGAGTAAAGTCGATAAAGAAATGTTTTATGAAATGCTGCAATGAAGTGCTATTGCATGGAAAAGTCTAGGAAAAGGCCTGATCATTCTGATGGGGCAGTCGAACGCCCTTGTCAGTATGAACAACAGTTTGTCAAGACGCGGTGTGGGGCAAAATAGGCTGGGAGAAATAAATGAGAATAGTGTGGGGCTGATGGTTTCTTGTGCTCCCAGAATACAGTTATAAGGGGCAGCATTTCTCCTCACAAACTCATGAACTAAACTATGTATATTTCACCAGAGAATAAGAATGAGCACAAATGCATGAATAAAATATTCAGAAAATCTATAGAAGATGTAAAAACAGAGAGAGAAACTGATATATCTCCAGGCGCTCACAATGTGAGTGAGTTTGAGTTAGCTCAGTAACAGCTTCCAAGTCCCATAAAAAGCACTAGATGACGAGAAAATCACCATATCGAAAGACTGGAAAGAGGTTAGAGAAGCAATAACTCTAATATATCACAAGGTACAATGCCACCAGAGGCACCCATGTAATGAGTGGATCTCTATAGTTACCCTGGACCAGATTCAAGAAGACTAAAGTCAGTAACAATAGACGAACAAAAACAAAGAAAGTCTGGGAGCTGGGTGCTGAAAAAGGACTTTGGAGCCTGAGAACAACAGAAAAAGCTGCAAGAGAAGGAAATGTGACAGGAATATATTTTACAACTAAGAAGCTATCAGGGATATATTGTAAATGAGAGCGACCAGTCAGGAACAAAGAAGGAAATCTAGTCATTGTAGGTCAAAAACGACGGAACAGATAGGTTGAAGATCTGGCAACAGTTGGAAAAGAGATCTGAAAGCAAAATAGGTTGAGAATCTGTGGTCGGCGGCCTATACCTAAAGAACAGTAACCAGCTTTTGTATAAGTAATGTATAAGATCTTCTTGACATTAAGAAAATCGTGTATATGGTGAAAGAAAAAAATGTATTTTTATTATTAATTTGTGTTAAATACTAAAATCTTTTCTTTTTATACTTCAAAACTGTTTCAATTCAATTTGTTGTTCCTCTATAAATATTATGAGTATTTTATATTTGTTTTTTTCAGTTATTTGAGGAAGAATTACTGTAACTAAAGAGTTGTGAAGTATATAGGTTGAATGAAATCTAACGGTCGAGGTTATAAAACATATCGACTATTTATATGAGAGGACTTCGTTAAGTTAATGAAACCTATTGTTAGTTATTATTAGTTGTTTACTGAATGTTATATACATTTTGTATTGTTTATTTTAATCTTCTCATCGATGTTTAGGACTGTAATTAATCAGTCTCTTATTGGCATATGTGCATCCTGTGCGGATTATCCCAATATTGCCTAGAGCCACAAGTATCATATGTAAAATTTGATGCTGGATAGCAGTGGAATCCAGGATGGGATGGAGTTTGAAGTGAACGGTAGTGGGTTCGAGATAGGATGAAACATGCATCCTGGATTCTACTTCTAGCCACCATACACTTTTACTTATAACGAATATCATATTTTTTTATTTTAACACTAGATGAAAGTTTATTAAAAATTTGTTTGGATTTTGAAGTTTACGAATGGATATATCTGATATATTCAATAGTGACCACAGTTTAAATGAACCCAAAACAAGCTAGAAATAATATCTTATCATTACCAAATAGTAATTAACTGATCGATTATCATCAGAAGGGGGTTTTGTGGAGATTTTTAGTAATTTTATATAGTTGAGATCGAAAACCTGGAAGCACTGGACGGTCGTTTCGTTTTATTGTGGGACTCCTCAGCAGTGTGCATCCACGATCCCGCCTCGCGAGATTCGAAACCAAGAACCTATCATCTATGACTGTAAAACTTGATGAAATAAGGTTGAATCCTATCAGTTCATTAAAGATTCCAGGTATCCTTTGTTAATAAATACTGATTGGCAAGAGATCTATATTCAGAGTAGCATACCAATTGTTTCCAATCACTTAACTTCATTTTAGTAAAAAAACTTATTGATAATAATTATGTTATTTTCTAGCTTAACTCATAATTCCATAAAAATATAATTTTTCATAATTAATATTTAATTAACCGGTTGTGTTTCAGTGTTATTATCGACTTTTTATTCTCACACCTAAAAAAAATCTACCATTTACTCAGTTTCTTTTCATAGTAGAAAGCATGAAAAATACTAAATCTCCACAAAACCCCTTCTGATAATTAGTTTTTTTGTTCAACAATTTAAAGGAATGGATAAACTAACCTGTTCCTTTATATTTTTTTAAAACTCTGACTAAATAAATAGCAATATCTAAAACTAACTGATCTATTTAATGTTCTGTAGTAACCACAGCAACTAATAATTTGTATTAGTTATAAGTAGTTTTCTTTCTCTCTAATGTATACAACATTGGTTAGTAGTATGAGAAATATTTGAAAAAAGCCTATTATAATAATTAGGCATTTAGAAAAAAAGGATAATGAATATAAATTAATGAATATTTAAAGGAGTTTTCTCTAATATTTGACAGTAATGAGTAAAAATTGAAGATGTTGCCTATTTTTAACACTTTTAAAAATCAAGTTTTCTGTCGTTTTTTTATCAAAAAGGTTCATTATTTTTGAAAAAAATCTTAACTTGATTGCATAATTCACAGGAACCAATGTGAGTAAACTGAATACTCACGATATGTAAAACAAATGTTTTAGCTCCAGATCTAACTATTAAGACGACGAGATAAGTAGTAGAATTTCAACTCTAACTGGCAATAACACAGTAAAAAGGTAGATATTGCTCGAAACACAAACGAACTGTGTATTTGAACATCAAATATTAAGATTTTAACCCAAAATTCTGCTGATTTTAAACGGTAAATAGAAAATTCTTTTTAAACATCGGACATAAATTATAATTGTGTCAAGGCGAAGTGAAATAATATTTATAAAAAACAAATATCACAATTGACAAGCCAGCCTCTAGATGATTAACTTCAGTTACAATATGATTTAATCAACGGACAAAATCATTGGCATATTTACAAACTATGAATTTTCTCTCGGTTTTACAAGGAGAAGCGGACAACACTGCAAAGTGGTACATGAAGGACAGCTGACAAATACTTCACGAGTGAGGAAGGAAGTCAGACAAGACTGCTTAATCTTTCTTTTTCTCCTTCTTTTGGTGACCGACTGGATTATGAAGACGTCAACATCTGGAGGGGGGAAGCACTGAATACATTGAACAGCTAAGATGCAGCTGGACAATCTAGACTTCGCAGATGACAACTTTCCTAACCCATACACATCAACAAATGAAGGTCAAGATAACCACTGTAGCAGCAGTCTCTGAATCAGTAGGCCTCAGTATACACAAAGGAAAAAGCAAGATCCTCAACTACAACACAGAGAGCACTAACCAAACTCTGGAAACTGAAGAAACATTCACGTATCCGGTCAGCATCATTGGTTAGTAAGGAGGATCGGATACAGACGTAAAGAAAAGGATCGGCAAAGCAAGAGCTGCATTCTTACAACTGAAGAATATATGCAACTCAAAACAACTGTCAACTAACTTCAAAGTTAGAATCTTCAATACGGACGTCAAGACAGTCCTGCTGTATAGAGCTGAAATGTGGAGAACTACCACAACCATCATCATGAGGGTACAAGTATTTATAAGCGAGTGTCTACACAAGAGACTGAATGCCTGTTGGTTGGATACCATCAACAACAAACTAATATGGCAGAGTGCAAGTCTAATTGCATCTCAAGGGGAAGTTAGGAAAGGACGTTGGAAGTGGATAGGAGACAAACCAAAGCCTAACTCATAATCCAGGAAGCAAAAGTTAAAAGAGAAGACAAGGGAACATATTGCATCCAGAAATGGAAGCAGACATGAAAATGATGGATAGCAACTTGAAACAACTGGGAAGGGTATTCAAGAACAGAGTTGGATAGAGAATGCTGGCAAACAGGTTTAGGCTCCTCCATGAAGGGTAACAAGCGTAAGCAAGTTTACAGAAACAATAGGTTTTTTCTAAGATTATCTGTTAATTGCATGAGCTTCAACCTTATCTTCTTGAAGAAGCCATTGCTCTGTGACTAACGATTTAACTCTTAACATATCCAATTTATTGATCAATAGCTTTAATGAATTATTAGCTTATTATCAGAAGACATTTTGAAACTAAGTCGAATTAGATTGATAGTGAAACTAAGATAGCAAATATTCAATTTGATTATTTTAAATATCTTAAATAATTGTTAAGTAAAAGTACTTAAAAAGTTCTTGGTAACTTTTACCTTTGATAACAATGAGAACTGTAGGAGATTTGTTATCTTCAATCTATATTAGTCTTTTGGGGTCTTTCTGTAAAACTTCATTTTTCTTTCTCTTATACTTATCTTCATTTCATTCACACTCATAAATACTGGTTTAAATCAAATATCCTACATATGCTCTAATTATCGTTTTTGGGAAATTAGTTGTACCTTATTTAAAATAAATATATACTTATTCTCATTTATAACTAATTTTCCAGATGATGTTATTCTTCCCATGAAGAATATATTTTTTCAAATGTGAATATATCTTAGCAAAACATTGAACTGAATCATTAAAATAATTTCATATAGTCCACATTATGAGCATAGTTAGGAAACTTGACATTATATTAATTAAAATATAGATTTATAAAGCATTAATTATTTGAAGGGGGTTTTGTGGAGATTTTAGTAATTTTGTATAATTCAAAGCATGAGTCAATTAAAGCTAGACCACCATGGAAAACCTGGAAGCACTGTACAGCCTTTTCGTCTTATTGTGGGACTCCTCAGGACGAACACTTTGCAGTGTTGTCCGCTTCTCCTTGTAAAACCGAGAGAAAACTCATAGTTTGTAAATATGCCAATGTTTTTGTCCGTTGATTAAATCATATTGTAACCAAAGTTAATCATCTAGAGGCTGACTCATGATTTCAACTGTTAATTATTTCCATAGTTATTTATTAATTTATTTAACTAAGCGATATACTTAAAAATATTCTTACAAAGTGAATTTTAGATGCATTGAAGTTGACCATACCAACAATTTGAAATATACATTAATATACCACAATAATAATATATTATATAATGTAGCGTAAACACAAATAACTATGACATAAAAATAAAAGTTATCCTATGAATCAGTCAGTCTGTCAGGTACAACGTTGGACTAGGCACATATATGCATTAGTTCAAGTTGCCACACCTCATTAACACAACAAGATGAACACTAAATTCAGAGAAGTAGTTACTTCAATGGTAGTAATATCTAAAAGAAAAATTGTATATAAAAAAGAAGCGATTAGCTCGTAGGAAGAAAGATATTCTATGATCACGCAAACATATCTAACTGTATATTTGATCAGCAATCTTTAACTTGTATTACCACTCTATTTAAATTATTATATATAAATCATGTTAGAAGTGATTTATTATAGTTTGTAATATAGTCATATTCATTTTATAAATTCTTTCAATGCTTCACTAAAGAAAAACAAATCAGTGAACTTGTTTATTAAATGGTAAGAAAGGTAACTAATCATATAAGAGAAATAAACAATCATAGTAACAATAATAATAATAATTATTATTATACCATAGAATCAACTGGGAATTCTATTTTAGTAAATAAATAAAACAATATGACTAATATATACATTAAGATGGTATTTAACTAATATGATTTGAATTAGAAAATCATAAATAATTAGATTGTTTTATTCCTTTAGTAAATTGTCAATTAGTTACTAATCAACAAAATACAACTTCCTTTTTTTTGTTCCACCAAAATAAATTTTGATTTTTTTTTGTTTTTTGTTTCATCACACCTTAATCTGTTCTTTACTTATTTATTTTATTCTCATGTGGTTTATGGTGAAAGTCTCGAAAATTGATCAACAAACCACAATTTAGTTTGTTACATTTATTTTTTGTTTAAATAAAAGTTAATAACAATAATAGATTTGATTGAATAAGTGTTTAGTGTTTTATAAAAATCAGTTGAACTATAGGGAATATTCTATTTCTTATTCTTCATTATTACTCCGTTTCCTTCATTAATCCTCCGTGAAAGCTTTTCTACCTTGAAAGTATGATGCATAATGAAAACGTTTTGATAACTATGGGTTGTATATGATGTTTATGATAATGTTTCTCATATGTTGTAGTAACTATTTGATTGTTTTTCTACATTAAATTATAAAGAAAGTAAACTGCATCAAAAACTGGCATTATGTGGTAAACCTTTAAATAATGAACATTGTTTTTGATTACGTTTGCAGAGTTCTAAACATTCTACACTTCAGAATCCTTCTTAGTTTAATATAAGAAACTTCAGATCTTTTGACAAACACAAAAATGATCTATTTATTCAGTGGGATTAACCAATCAACATGTTTAATACCAACTCATTTGTGGTATAGAGGATTTTTTAATTAATTATCTAATGCTACCTGGTTATTTAGTAGTTCTCTAGATGATGCCAGATTTTAATTATAAAGATTACCTTCATAATGTGGTGGATTTCCATAACTCTAGTCATTGGATATTTATACATTACGTTGAACAGCATGATTTCTGGGGAAGTGGTGTTATCCATAAATAAACCTTCAATGAATGTTTATTTCTGAGTGTATTGATCTCATTGGACGTATACTCCAATAATTTGAAATTAAAATGTTTTTGAAAGAATGCCTAAAAGAACTATGTTAAACTTCAAGTTTGTCAGACAGTATGTTTTTTTATTGTAAAGAAAATGGAAAGAGAATTCAATAAGTATGTGCGCTGATTTTTCAAATATGCATTTCAAAGATACATTATGAAAAGTATTTGATCTTTATGAGTTTGGTGGACTAAGATTTCGATGGCCTCATATAGTTTTAATGACTCCCCAAGTATGCTTAAGCAAAGCTATTGAAACCATCTATGTTAGAGAAATATTGTTTTGGAGATTGAAGTGAAAATTGTAATAGCGTGAAATGTCAGTACTATTTAGCCAGGAAAGCGTCTGTACAACAGAATTGCCATTATTTTATGATTTTCTAGAACTTAATAATAATGTGTTAAATATAGTATTAGTAGACAATTTGAAGTTTCTGTTTCATCTGATTAATTACATGAACGAAAAGTATGATGTAATTTATCAAAAAAGTTTATAATCAGTTTCCAATTCTCAAAGCAAAACATTGTACATACACATACTCTTCCAAACTAGTACTCGTTTATGGCATCTGCATGTCACTGTTTCTGCAGATCTTTTCTAAATATGTTACTAGTTCCATAATCTTTCATACATAGACCTAAAGTTTACTGAGTGCAGATATCAAAGCCTAAGAAATTGGATTACAGGACCATATTCGCTGGGTATTATGTTCATCAGATTGTGTATCCGTATTTTGTAAAGGTGTCTGTTATCATGTACATAGTTAATAACATGTTCACTTTAAAGAAAGAAAAAAAAAGAATATCACCATTGGTTTAGATATTTTCTTAGCGAAATGTGCATAAAAATGATGCACCAAA